TTGATATCACCATGTGAGACACATGGACTCCAAGTGTGTCGCAATTCGAACCAATAGTATTGAGGCATGGTTAAAAGCGTAAGATTCACTTCATGTGTGAGTGCAAAATTAAGTGTGAGATACATGATGATGACGTGTGGAATTTTTTGAGTGTAAGTTCAAAATGGCTCAGTTTGAAGTTGTGAACAGGCGATTGTTGCGCAGTGAAGCTAAAATCAGTTTTTAGAAGTGAATCAGAGAAAATGGAGCAGCTACGTAATAGTAACCGGTGGAAACTAACGATTTTAAATTGGCTCACTACTTGACCAGCAAGTTCCAAGCAAACGATTAACGTACCCCATTCTAGTCGAAATTCTAGTACTATACAATGTTTATTTTGATTCGCTAAAAGATTTTGACAGATTTGACTGATGAAATGAGGGGTTAGTGGATTTTCCTATGTGGAGCACATTTCTTCGGGACCTTCTGGTCTTAGAGTAACCTCTATGACAATAGCTTGGATGGCGAAAGCTATCAGCAGTTAATTGGCGAGGTACACAACTCTAACAAATAGTTCGTTGCTATCAATACATACAGAATTATCATTTTCATTCCATACATTCAGGCAAACACAAAACGAAATGGAGAAAGAGTGATGCTATTAGATAAAGTTACTTTCCTCAATGTGCTCTTTAAATGAGAAGCTTTTGAATTTGCTCCCGGTGGCGTAGAATGACGTAGAAAGTAGCAAAAGACAAATAAAGAAAAAGTTACAAACTGGATTCGAACCAAGGACTCAGGGATCCAAAGGCACGTACCTAATCAGTTAGTCCAGCGACGGTTGCTGGAACACTGCGATGCAAACCAAATAAGAAGCATGCATTCCTTCATCGCATCAACGGATTCAATCAAGCTAAGAAGTTTCTCAAAGAGGAACAAAATGTGATTTCCTCAGTTTTTTTTTTTTTTTTAACATTGAGGAAGCTATTTGAACAGTCTTTCTCAATTTTAAAGAAGAAAGTCGAAGCAAAGCGGAGAAGAGCGCATGGTATTGAATACTTCCCTCTTTTTCTGCTCTGAGGTGTATCCATCAATGATCCCAAGGATATTGCGAGGTTGTTGAATTCTGAGGATACTTTCTTGGATAAATTCCAAGGCAATTCAACAAACAATTTCAAGTGAGTTCTGAAGAGCGATCGAAGGGAATTCTGCGAAGAATACCAAGGGAATCGATTTATGAGGGTACAATCAACCGGTGGAAACTAACGGTTTAAAATTGGCTCACTACTTAACTAGCCTATTGGTCCCAAGTACATCTATAAGCTTACCCCATTCTATTCGAATTTCTAGTACTTCACTATGTTTGTTTTGATTCGCTATGAAAGTTTGACAGATAAAATGAAGGGCTCGTGGATTTTTTTATGTTTCGAGTGGTACATCGATTAGCTTGGGACCGAAAAAAGTGCCAGAGCTGAGCCAAAAAGTTGAGCACGTTTCTTCGGAACCTTCTGGTCTTAGAGTTACCTCTATTGTTCAATCATATAGGTAAATCTAAGACCAGAAGGTCCCAATGAAACGTGCTTACCTTTTTGGTTCAGCTCTGGTACTCTCTTCGGTACAATATCGATGAAATTCTGGGAAGATTTTCAAGGGAATTTCGAGTATACTTCCAAGGGCATTTCGGGTAAAATATAGACTGAGCAGACGTTAAAGACTTTTCTGAGGTGAATTGCATGCAGGGGTTGAAACAGTTGACGTTTTTTACTACACTCGTTTCGTTGCCGTGCGCGACAGTCTGTTTGTATTCGTACACTCATGCTCTACCATCGTCTCTCTCACACAACACAAACGGTAGAACAACATTTGAGCAAAAAGAAAATTATCAAATAACTATCATATGACATGTGTGATTTCGTTCTAATTCCTCAATTTTGTGTAAAATAAACCATTTCTGATCAGAAATGTTATTACTAGGACATCATTGCTTGCTATTTTCAGAATTCAGACAAGCACAACATCAGCAGCTCTTATTATGAGAAAAACTAAAATACATACATTCATGACGGTTTTCGATGACAGTATCGTATGACAGAGCATGTCATACTTGTTTTGTAAGTGATAGCTTGTTTTGTAAGTGTCGGAGGCAAAGACAGTCGATTATCACAGAAATTGTGTAGACTAACGTGACCGCTAACAAGACTGATTGCATGACAATATCTCCATATATGGAGAATTGAAGTGAATTTTGAATTAATTCTTTTTAAATCTTAGGATGAAATTGTATAGAATTTCTGAACTGTTATAAAAAAAAACCAAGGGAATCACAAAGAAATTTTCAAAATAATTCTAGAGGAATTCTAAATAGAACTCTATCACAACTAATGTTAAAGAAAATTCACGAGAAAATTTCAAAAGAATACTGTAAAGAGATCTATATGAATTTTCAAGATAGTTAAACCACAGACAAATTTCGCAGTATTTGTAATAGTTTATCTTACTTAGTGATCCTTTCGAATCACTTAATCATTTTGTTCGACCATTTTCCACAGAGATGGCGCTGTTCCGCTGGTAGGAAGTTATAAAAATCCCTATACAGAAATTGAGAAAAGTGGGAATGATTCGCTTTCGGTGCATATTCAGGTCAAACAAAGAGAACGACAACCTAAAGAAATTAATCAGGGACTTTGTCGTTCAGTTTTTTCCCGAAAATTATTGTTAAACAAGCTACAATTAAATAAAAATGACTTTTCCCCATACAGTTTTACCTGCTTTACTACCAGTTCCCAGAGAGGCAAAAAAATTCAAATTTGAGAGAGAAAATTTGCTCTCACGACCTCAATCTCTCAACATGCCATGTATTTTGTTGACACTCGATTTGTGATTTCCCTTTAACAGATTACAAAATAGAGTACCTGACACTACAAAACATGTCTGGTACCTCTATATATGCATTTGCTTTAACATTTTAAGTTCCTCCTTTTTTACATATTCTGCGCAAAGGATACTTTATGCCCCGCCCCATACATAAAATTCGGCCAGAAATTCTGTGAGGGGTGAGCTATTTTGTGTGCAGAATGTGTAAAAAAGGAGGGACTTCGAATAATAATCTAATATGCGTACCAGACATGTTTTGCACTGCAGTGTCCTCTGTGAACAATTATAGGAAAACAGATTGTGAGTAGTTTCCGATAGATGTCACCGCAATCAACAGCTGTGACATCTGATGGAACATGAATGCAGAAGCTTGACAAAATGATTAATTGCATTCGGTTTTATGCTTAATTTAAATGTCTGATCACGCTCGCCTTCGGAAGGGAAGTAAAGCCGTTGGTCCCCGGTCCATGAGTTGATGGGTCGATAGGTTGAGTCCAGATGTGAGAGCTGCCTCCCTGGCGTCGGTAGCATTAGCACTCAGAACGTAAAAGTGTACCTAGGTTAATATATATTCGGTAAGTTGCGATGTTTGGTTCAGTCACATTGTAGACGAAATACGCGTATCTGTCAAAGATAAGCGAATAATGTAGTGGAATTAAATGGAAATTACTAATCCGTCACTCTCTCTTTATTTATACTTACGTTTGACAGAAATTTAAATTTTGATTAAATTACTCATTTTACCTACATAGGTGTAATCACATTCGGTCAAATAGCATTCGACATAATAGCACTCCCTTAGCTCAGTCGGTAAAGGCACACCCTAATAAACGGGTACCATACTCTAACGATATCATAGATGGTACGACCATCCCACATAAAGTTGGGATGATATCCCGAATTGGTGGTTAGGCGCTTCTTATGGTTATTGTTTATGCGGGCAGCTACAAAGCAAGACCATGCTCGAGGTGACTGGGTTCGATTCCCGGTCCGGTCAAGGAATTTTTCGGGATGGAAAATTTCACGACTTTCCTGGGCATAATAGAGTATGATTGTACTTGCCACACAATTATACTAATGCAAAAATGGTACAGGCATCGAAAGCTCTCAATTAATAACTGTGGAAGTGCATCTAGAACACTAAGTTGAGAGCACGCAATAAGCTTGAAATGCGAGAAAGAAGAAGAAGAAGAAAAAGAAGAAATAGCACTCGGCCAAATGGCGTTAAGCCTGTTGGCATCTGGCCTAATCCGACATCCCCCTAATTTAAAACCTGAGTCTCCTAATGTGTTCATTCCAGACAGGTGCAGTTTGATATTGAATTTAACGTATTGCAATAGTGTTCTATAAATTTACTTCAATTTACAGTACGGGGACAATTAGGGCAAAATAGACCAATAGCTTTGATGGATTTATGTTTACCAGTATTTAGTAAATTTAGAGGAATTGAGCAAACTATGCCACTTCCCGTCATCTGCCATCACCAATCGATTTGTCGTGATTTTTTAAGGACCTCAGCGTCCCGTATTTTAGCTCGATATGCATTCAAATTATTCTTATATGAATGCGTTCCTTTTGAAAACGGGAATTTCCTCAACCTGACAACAAGATTCCGATGATGAATCCAACCACGATAATCAAAAACGATGGAATATTTTAACGAAGTAAACAGTGGTAAACATGCCGATACACATATACCTTGGCTTGTTTTTGTGTTTTTGTTTTGTTCTCCATCATCGCCGTGGGACGACGAACGAGTGGCCATGGAAAATTACTGAAACCTTCCTAGGGATGAGCCAAACAAGTATAAAACGAAACTACCCGGCAAAGCACGCAATCAGTGAAGTTTAATCTGTCGTTTGAATAACATTGAAAGTTCTGCCAAAATCACAATGGGTTACTCTAAAGCCGAATCAACGAGCAAGCAAAATAGCTCCAAACAGTCGACCCACCACAATCAACCGCGATCGGTTAGTTCGATTTTATAGTATTTACAACCATCGTCAAATAATAATAATAATAAGTGAACAGTGTTGCTAGGCGATTTCTTGCAGCATTACGGTTGCCCTATCCGTCATTAATTCATGTTGTTGTCGTATAAAAATAATTTCAACTAATCAAAACATTGTCCATTTCTTCCCGCCAAGGTCATCGACGGCTGTGCATTTCGAGTGTACGGCCACTGGGTCAAGAAGGGCGAGGGCCAGAATCGTGCCGCCCTGTTCGAGAATACGCCTCGATGCGAGGTTTATAATCTTTATATCAACAGCCTTAACCGGTAAGCTCTAGGAGGCGAAGGCGGCGGCGGCGGCGGCGGCGGCGGCGGCGGCCCAGGGCGAATGGGGATGAAATCCCCCGCCAAGCATGAAGGAATTTGTGGATCACATCGTTTACTTATCACCGCGTGCTGGCACACATTCAGCGTGTTCCTTAGAGGTCGAGGTGTGCGAGAAATTGCGTGAAAGTGCGTGAAAGTGCGTGGATGTGTGGCATGGCGAGACGGGGGAGTGATTTCTTTTTTTGATTTCCCGAACGGAGAGGAGTACGGTAAAAAGGAAGCGTTAAGGAAGTTGAAAAGTGATCAGGCAGTCTTTAAATATATAGAGAGAGAAGGTTTAGTTTAGTAGTCAGTAGAATTAGTTCGGATAAAATGTAGGATTTAGTTTTTTTTTCTCTTATACGATATTATTTATTGTACCGCAAAACTGAAGTTAAATCTCTTTCGTTTAAAGTGAATGAATCGGATCGGATCGATGTAGTTATTTAACGGCAATCAGTTATCGAATTGATTTGTCATGTTTTTTTCTTTTCTTTAAAAGGCGTTTACCCTTTCCTTATTTAGTCGTAAGGTTATATCTCAAAAAAGTATAGCATATTACATAGACATACCTTAAAAACACTGTTAACCAGATATTTGAATTCCTCATTTTTTGATATTACTGAATGGAATCAATTTTTCTTATCAAAGGAAACCTATTTTTGTAAGCTTGTTAGGAATCATGAAAGTTTTGGATTGAAGAGCAATAGCAGAAAAGAAGGCTTATCAGCAAGATGGTACATTGATGGCAATATGCAGAAGGTAAATACAACTAGTGAATTATTGTATAATCTCCACTCACAAGTATGTAGCACACACACTTACACTAGGGTGTTGTTAGTTGTATGGCTGCTGTTAGTAGCTAGACGTAACATGAAAACTAAAATCGTCAACCTTTAGTGGATAGCCAACTGCTTGAAATATACCGGAAATCTGCAAGGAGAGGAACTGATCGGTGTCATTGGAAAGAACGGTCCCTTATACCAATCTGGGAGGGTAAGTTGAAAGCTTCCAATATCCTGGAAGTCAGATAGCGTCAGACGGTGAGGTCCAGAGCGTTCAAGAATGTCAACACATCAATGTCCAAATCTCAAACTCAAACGTGAAATCTGTGCTATTTCTAGACCAGCGAATAGCCTCACAACGGAATATCGAATGCTGAGCTCCATTGTCGGTGTGCCATCAGAAGCCGGTTTCAACTGAAAAAGGAAGACGTGTGAGAAGCTGGGTCGGCCACACACACCAAAATCGGCAAGGAACAATTCCTTGCAGACGGGCGACAGATATCCTAGTCATTTTAAGGCACGGTATGACTAAGTGGGAGGCGGTGAATAGTGGTTGAAAAGCTATAAAACGTGCGTTTTATTATTTACGCCAAAACGGATTATTTTAGACACACAGTAGTAGTTTGGAGTAGTTTGTGTACATGATTGCATTTATTTTGATCTCAGTTTAAGGAGCTGTCACGATTTTTGTTTTTTTTTTGCGTAAGTGATTTTTCGGTATTAAAAAAACGCTATCGTTAGTGGTTTTGGTACGTTTGTTCGGTTGATGTAGTGTTTTGGTGGTGTGTATTCTGTCATTTTTTTAATAGTGGAAAATTAAGTAGTGTTTTTTTCCGTCAACGACGGTTGGAAGAGGATGAAGGAGTGAAGGAAGGGTTTGGTAGTTGTGAAGGGTTCGTTGAGTCCGCGTTCGAAGTTGTAGAATAACATTGGAAGCGAGAGAAAAGCTATACTGTTAGGACGAGGGAATTTAGAAGATGAAGGATGGCTTCAGAAGGGAAGAAAAAAGTAAAGATTATGATAGTAGTGGAAGTTTGGTATATGGAATCGATATTGTGAATGGAAGAAGTTTATAGAATTCAGAAAGAGGAATGGTGAAAGTGGGCAGTCAGAATAACACTACATTATGACATTCAATGGATCCGTCTCAAAATTTTGTGAAATCCATCCATTTAGTAAACATTAAATTTATTCCACTATTTATGTTACATCCATAAATGCAACAATATTCAAAAATTGAATACAACAGGGCATCGTTAGATGGCTGTTGCCACCGGTATTATGAGTTTCCTAGGTACACGGTTCAAGCTTCAGTTGGCTGCGGTGGTTCTTCTTTTAATTCTATCCCTGAATAGATAGTGCGGATTAGGGCGTGATGTTTTACTGTACCTGTTGTGGATGTTAGTACATCCTTTTCCTTAAACTTGTTGAGGACACCCTGTCCTGCCTCAAAATTTATCCTTTCTAAAGTACTGATCATCACAACATAAAGCGCACTATTACGAAAAATTAGATTTTATCAAATTATTCGCAGTTCTATTTGTCCAACGCTCCCAGCTGAGAGAACACACACATATACCTGTGATAGTTTTGAGTAGGCTTTTAAGAAAACCCTGAATTGAATTCAAAATAAAATTCAAAGAACACTCATAAGAATTCCTGAAGAGCAGAACTCCTGTGTACTTCAAAGATAAATTCCAAGGGTATTCTGAGGATAATTTCAAGAAGTTTGTGGGAGACAACGCATCCGGAGTACAAGTCCTTGCAAATGTTTGTAGAACATTAATCGAGAACATCATTCATCATTCGATATAAATCGGATTCAGAGCAGCCAGTGAATTTTTATTTTAAAATTCCCGGGTTTTTCCTGGTTTTCCCTGTTCAAATCTAAAACCTTCCCGGTTGTCAATATTTAGTTAAAAAAACGAATGTGTTGAAATTATTGCAATATCACGATATTTTCGAGGTACGTTTATAATGAATTTATTTTTTTAGACACATTATTAATTGAAATAAACTTGTACATTCACAACAAATTAAAACACAACATAGAAGTTAAGTGACCAGATCTAAGAGATTGTTGATTTTTCCCCGTTACTTTTCAAATTCCCGGTTATTTTCCAGTTTTCGCGGCTCCCGCAATTACCTTGGAATCATTACGAAATTATGAATAGACATCACTGAAGTAGGGTTAACTACCCCATTTCCGGCCTATTAAGCACAACCCGCACTTAGTCTTTCTTGATGTAGCGCAGTTTAGCACCAATCAGAATGTTATTATTACTAATGGCTTCCAAATTTATTTACCTTCCCGTACGTACCGTAAGATTTGATAAAGAGAAACTAATCGTTGAGATATTGTCAAAAGTTTAACACTGCTTCTTGACGGCAAACTCGGCCTAACGCATTGAAACGCCATTGAATTCACTTCGGCCTGTTTTTGGGAATAATGGGTGCAAACCTTCATATCACGCGTTCTCATTGACTTCGTTCCGTAGCTTATTAACTAAAGTATCGTACCAAACGCATAATTGACTTGTTAACTCTGAAATCATGGATTTATTTGAAGTTTTCTGCTTGATAGGCCCAAAATGGGGGATTAGGCCGAAGTAGTGCTCTACCCTACTCAAGATTTTTCTGAATTTCATGGAACATCTAAGGATCCTCAAACTTCATTGAGGGTTCAGCGAACTTCATCGATCCCCGGTCTGGTCTAGGGATTGTTCGGATTGGAAAATTTCCCGACTTCCCTGGGCATAGAGTATGATTATACTTGCCACACAATTATATCATGCAAAAATGGTACAGGCATCGAAAGCTCTCAATTAATAGCAGTGGAAATGCATCTAGAACACTAAGTTGAGAGATAAGCTAACATGCGATAAGCAATAAGCTTAAAATTCGAAGAAGAAGAAGAATAAAAAGAAGAAGAAGAAGAAAGTCTGAACTAAAGTTACAGGAGCTGCCCGTAAGATCTCTGAAATTCCTCTGTATAGTTCTCAATATTTCTGAAGTTCTCTTGATACCGGTGAAGTTCTCTGAAATTCAAGGAGCTTCTTAATATGTAGTTCCTGGCAAGGGGTAATCAACTCTGCACATTGTGCCGAAACACATCGTGGCACATTGATCGGCGCGTCATGGCACACGATGACAAGTATGACACAAAATATAATATAAAATGGCATCACTGTTTTGTGTTGACATTTTGCCAATCGTTGCTAAGGTTTACTTCTTCGTTTACTTCAAAGTAAGGGGGAAAGGAATAACAATTGTCCCCAAATTGAGGAGAAATTGTCCCGAATTGAGATAAGATAAGAGATTGTATAATTGACGAGACTCTCTTTATCCTTATGCCTTCTGGGGGATGAACCTCTACAGAAAGTCCACACGGCTTTTGAGAGGCGTCCATAGTTTCAGGGAATCCACCACGCCCCGCAGAATAGGCCAGAATTAAGTATTAAGTATTAGTAGCCATAGGATCCGGAGCGAGAGTCAATTGTATTGTATTGTATGTGCAGCAACACCCCGGTACCGAACGATCCTACCATTCTTTAGATGTACATATCTGCAATCGCAATGGCTCACCAATCAGCCAGCCGTACAGTTCGTTGTATGGACTGAACTCGGATTCGATTGACTGTGGAGGTCTCTTTCGCAACTGTTCGTATCACCGACGGCAACAGCAACATTAAGAAAGATGCTACTAACAGAATTGTGAAGGGAACCACACCGGAGGTAACAGAGCCAATCTGAATCGCGGTCTTAATGAACGCAATCGGAACCGGCAGTAGTTTCAAGGAGATTAATATGCGATTCCGGCATGACTTCCTATTTTTCTGATTGTAGCATGACGATATTGCAGACAAGATTCATGTTCCACTTGCCGGTTGGGTTTTTGGTTTTGGCAAACGTCTGCCAGAATGACGCACGGTAGAGAACTGTCTTCTCCTGGATGGACAGCTTCTGCCATCAGTCACCCTTTTCCTTCTCGCGGAAGGGCTAATCTTCGAGTGCCACTTCCTTGAAGCGGATGACCGGCAACCTGCTCGTTGAATATTATCACGACTTTTTTCCGTCCTTGACTTGAAAATGTAAACACACAATCTCAAAAGTCATAAGTGCATGGTTGTCAAACTCATGGGTTACTGAGACTGATAGCTTGATTGCCACACTTCGGCACGTTCAGCACAACGCTTGACCTAGCTTTCGGCACAGATAAAGTACTCGGCTCAGCTTGGGATGTGCAGAGTTGAATACCCCTTGAACCGGTGTCTGCAAGTTTAGTTTTCTTGCTTTTGAGTACATATGATAATACATAAATAACCCTTTTTGTCAACCCCTCCTTGATACTCTTCTCAAAAATAAAACAGAAAACAAGACCTTAAAGCACCCAAACAAAACAATTAAAATTTATTATCAATGAAAGATAGTTAAAATAACAATTCCTATTATGTAAAATAATTAAAATTCGGATGCAGAGGGGTTGACAAAATCGGATCACTACTGTAAATCATATTTTATTTTAAAACATTATATTATATATTGGGTTAGGGAGGGGCAGCCTAAAGGGGGGAATCAGTCCCTTGCACCTGATAACAGATGGCTATCTGGTCGTTTGGTCTTCCAAAGGTCTTCAATGAAGCTGATTCACCCTGCTGCAACAAACAGGTAGAACTTTACAACCGGTTAAGTATCTGTAGACATTGGTAATCCTTGCACTGATGATGGGTTCCATTCACATCACATCACATGATTGCCCTTCTTTTGATCTATTTTTTTTTCATGATTAATCCATTTAGCAAGAAGCGTAAATAAGGGGGGGGGGGTATTCGAGAACGGAGTATCTAAAATTGGCCGTTCGCAATGATGGCAATGCAGAGTTGCAGTTTAATTATTCGAGCATTACTTTGCACCAGATTTGCAACAGCTCGACTGAGCGGGTTTGAAACACGAATGGATCTTTGTTCCAAATTTCTTTGGATGTATTTATTGATGTTTCTCGTAAATGAAGAGAACTTCAATAGAAATTTGGGAATTTTACAGAATTTTTGGAAACTTCTGAGAAGTTTGAGGATATTTTCGGAGAGCTTAATTTAAATAACGAAGAGCATCGCAAAAATAGTCGGAGAACTTTATAAATAACAGTAAACTGTATGTAAATTGTATATTAAA